TTTTTTTTTTTGGTTAATGTTTTTGTTCTTGTTTTAATTAGGTACATTTACATATGCAGATGGAAGAAAACTATGAGGAGATCTTTGATCTGAAGCACATTCTACCCGAGATCTACTCGACAACTCGACCGCATAATCATGAAGATGAAATAAATATTGTTAATAGCTGGGATTATTCAACAGGTTCAGCAAATCATACAAACCATTCAACTGCATCTTCATCATCTTCAGCTGCCCCGAAAATCGTTTCTTTTGAGAGCAATATCGTCTCGACTGGTCAAACAGCGTCTAATAATCGTACATTCGCTCCGAATGACGACGAGTTGGCCAATAATAAGGACTACAACAACTCGTTAGCCGGCTCAAAAATTCTAAATTTTTCGGCTTGGGCTGAAGATAATGACGATAATGAATTAGATTCAACAATAACAGGTCGTCAAAAGAATGGTGCATTGACCGTACGGTCCTTGTCCCAAGCTAGGGATCATCTGATGGCTGAGAGGAAACGTCGGGAGAATCTCGGTCAACTTTTCATTAGTCTCTCCAAAGTCGTGCCGGGACTCAAGAAGGTAAACTAAATAATGTTCATATTCTTCATCACTGTCTAAACATGAAGTTTGTCAAACAGCAGCATTATTGTCTATTGATATGACTTGATTAATTAATTGACTCATTTTTTGTTCAATTAATTCTTAATTAGTTAATTGTGATAGTACAGTTGGATAAGGCCTCTCTACTTGAAGATGCTATTAACTACTTGAAAGCCCTTCAAGAACGTGTGAGCTCGCTTGAACAAGGACTGATTAGCACGAAAAGCTTCACGGACGACACATCAAGAGATGATGAATATCGTTCTTTATCGAGCTTCATTAATAATAACAACACTGATAATAATGACAATTGCAGCTGGAGCACGATTAGCGAATCGGCCCCTGCAGAAATTAAGGCCCGGGTTTCAGACAAGCATGTCTTGGTTAAAGTTCATTGCAAGAAGCAATGCGGTTTGATGTCTACGGTTCCATGTCAGATGGAGAAGATTCATCTCAATGTGGTCGACATGAGAATCTTGCCGTTTGGAGACGATGCTCTTGATATTACTCTTCTTGCTGAGGTATCGATCAAACTGCTTAAGTGGAAGTTTTTGCATATTCAATCCTACCAATGTCAACAATGCACACACTAGTTTTTTATCGTTCGATCAACACATATACACATACTCAAAGGAGGTTTGTTTCGATCCAATGATGAATTACTCAGTAACTGCATAAAAATGAACCCAAGTATTGGTTTTGGCACATATATTATATAGGCTTTAAAAGTGGATTGCCTGAACGAGATTTTAACCATCGATCGGATCTACACAATTACGCCATTTCTCTTAAAAGATCTTTTGTCACGAACTAATTGATTGTTCTTTATACAGATGACGAGTGAGTTTCGAGGCACGGCGAAGGACATTGTTGACCATTTGCACACACTTTTCTTCAACACTCGGTCGGACAAAGTGCAGCACGACCAAGACAACACCACTCCCTAATTATGGGGACTTTTACCTTTATAATTCTTACTAAATTACCCACGGTTTAGACATGACATAGTTACCTTTTTTTTTGGTTGGCTAGCTCTTTTTATATTTGTTATGCTTGTGTTTTTAGTTAGTTGTTTGATGAAATTAATCGAGCTAAATTGTTCGCAAACACATTTTGCCATGAAATCTCAAGATTGCTTGTTCATTTGTTCTAAAATGAGTTGACTACGAAGTTTGTTAATCAAACGAGTTGCGAACTAACTAATCTAGGTGAATATGTTCGCAGATGAATAAATAGTGTTTTTGAATAATTTGTTTACGACTGTGAGTTTATTAAACAAGTCGAGTCGAACATCTTTCATGAGCTTAAACCAAGTTGAGCCATCTCGACCCATTTATTAAACGAGCTTGAGCTCGACTTCATGTTTCTATGTTAGCTGACTTGCTTCTTTGTTATTTATACATTTGTATCTCTTTTTGTTTCCACTATTGTTGTGCTGAAGGATTATTAAACAAGTATGAAAAAAATGAAAAGATGAAACAATACAAAACAAAACAAGGGCACAACACATATTTTGTTAACTAAATGCATTTTTATAACATACGAGTAAAAATACCACTTTTCAGAAAAAAAA